TGAGGCTTCCATAAGTCTCTCCATGGGTCTCTCCTGGCCATCCTGTAACTGGGAAAGTTCGGCCCCTATGGCTTCATTGGAGGCGTCGGTGTCAAGTATAAACTCTCCATCGGGAATGGGGAGGGCCAGGACAGGCGGAGACGTAAGGGCCCTCTTTAAACCATTAAAAGCTGCTTGTTGCTCCGGGCCCCAGACAAAGGGCTTCTTGCCTGTGATCTTGTAGAGGGGCAGTGCCCACTCAGCATAACCTGCAATGAATCCCCGGTGGTAGTTAGCAAACCTAAGGAACCTCTCTACCTCCTTTGTGTGTGTTGCTGGGGACAGCCCAGTCCTTAACTGCAGCAATGTAATCATCTCCCATCTCAATGCCTTCCTTGCTTACCCGGCGTCCCAGGAATTCAACCTTGGTTTGGAATAGTTCACATTTCTTCAGCTTAAACTTTAAGTCGTACTCCCGGAAACGCATGAACACAGATCGCAAGTTCTCCAGGTGATCCACGAAGTCCCGACCTAAAACAAGGGCGTCATCTAAGAAGGCCAGAACAATACTCCAAGTAAGGCCTCTAAGTACCAGATTCATCGCCCTAGAAAAGGTAGCCGGGGCATTGCATAGAACAAACCCCATGAGCACAAACTCTAAAAGACCATACGTAGTCAAAAAGGCTGTCTTTTTCCTATCCTGGGGACGGCTCTTTATCTGATGAAAGGCAGAATTGGCGTCGAGCTTAGAAAACCACACATTCCCTGTAAGGGTGTCCAAGCACTCGTCTATCAAAGGCAGGGGGAATACATCCTTGTTCAAACGGCGGTAGTCCAGGCACCATCTGACCTGACCGTCTTTCTTCCTAATCAGAACTGGAGCTGAGGCCCATTCAGACATAGAGGGCTGTATCACACCACCCTCCAGCATTTTCTTTAGGTGGGATTCCTCCTCACCAGCAAAGAACATGGGAGTACGTCTAATCCGCTCCTTTACAGGGGGTGCGTCTCCGGTATCTATCTCGTGTTCTAATGCAGTGAAGTTCCCAAAGACGAACTCGCTCTGAGCAAATACATCTTGAAATTCTGTGAGCAAACTGGTCAGCATGGCCCTCTCCTCTGAACTGAGTTCCATAGAGGAGCGCTCTAACAAATCCTGCAGAAATTCAGGCACCTCAGGGGATGTGGCTCCTGCCTCCCGATCCCCGTCATCCAGGCTGCCTACTGTCCGCACCAAGTAGGGCACAGGCTGGTGTGGATCAGCTTTCACTGCAGTACCAACAAGGCTACCCCCCGTCAAGGTCACATCCCGATCTGAAGCGTTCACTACACAGAATACTGCACTTTCCCCTCCCATATGGTATGTATGGGGCATAAGAAGCACATCAGACTGCATTTAAATGCCAGGGACCATCACAAAATCATTTATCGATATAAGGTAGTGCATATTAGAGTACAAAAATAGGAAAAATGTGTGTCAACCCCAGATTTAAAAAAGAAAAAAATGGAAGGGGGAGGTCCAGCCCCTAAGTGCCTGTGTTTCTTATCAGACACATTTCCAAGATAAATAAAATCTGCAAATCTGAAAATTCTTCATTTATAATGTTATCATAAAAGTGTGAAGGCTAATATTAAGAGATATATTGACACATTATAAAAACAGGTGAAAACAAAATAAATGAATTATAAAATTCTAAATTACTGTACCTCTTTGTTTGATGTTTGCATATTGCTTTCTGACTTCATCAACTGTTCTTTCAACTGTATCAGACTGTCTGTAAACAATTTATAATATATAGGTGTTTTCCATCACAAACTTTCAAAAATGATAAACAAAGGCACCCATTTCCGGTATTTTCAACCCAATGCAAATGGCACAAAGCTTACATGTGACAACTCTTAACTTTTAATAGACAGTTTTTATTGCATTTTTAATTATGCCTATTATATTAAATAAAGAAAATTTTACATTATGCTATAGTCTCAATTTAGTAAAATAAAGAGGGGTAACTCTCAATATACAGCACTACATATATACAAGTGGCCCAGGGGCCACATCGCTCACCTGAGCCCTTTGGCTAGGGAAAAGCAGAAATCAGTTCAGTATTGAAAGTATAAATATAAAAGTAATTGGGGGGGGGGGGGGAGGAGTTATGATTTAAACAAACTTGAATCTACACTTCCTAAGGATGCTTTTGAATTAATATGATACATAATGGCTTTGCTTTTCTTCAGATGAAAATTTTTATTGACTTATCCTTTATATTCCTATGTATAACTATGATCTCCTGTTATGACCCCTCTATTCTCCTGGGGGTCATGATTTGAACAAATTTAAATTTACATTACCTGAGGATGCTTTTATATTATTATGACCAATCATGGCTTTCCTGTTTTTGAGAAGAAGATTTTTAAGGGTTTTTCCTATGTATTCCTATATAGAAATTTGATCGCCTATTGTGGCCCCACCCTACCCCATGATTTGACCAAACTTGAATCTACACTACCTGAGGATGCTTCCATATAAATATGACCAATCACAGCTTTCCTGTTCTCGAGCAGAATATTTTAAAAGATTTTTCTTATATATTCATATGTAAAACTTTGATCGCCCATTGTGGCCCAACCCTCGCCCCAGAGGTCATGATTTGACCAAACTTGAATCTACACTACCTGAGGATGCCTTCATATAAACAGGACAAATCACAGCTTTGTTGTTCTCGAGAAGAAGATTTTAAAAGATTTTTCTTATGTATTCCTATATAAAAATTTGATCAACCCTTGTGGCCCCACCCTACACCTGGGGGTCTTGATATGAACAAACTTGAATCTACACTACCTGAGGATGCTTCCATATAAATATGACCAATCATGGCTTTGTTGTTCTTGAGAAGAAGATTTTTAAAGCTATCTCCTATATATGTAATACTATGGAAAGCTTAGATCGCCTATTGTGGCCCCACCCTAACCCGGGGGTCGTGATTTGAACAAAATTGAATCTACACTACCCGAGGATGCTTCCATATAAATACATGTATGACCAGTCATGGCTTTGCTGTTCTTGAGAAGAAGATTTTTAAAGATTTTTCTAATGTATTCCTATGTAAAACTTTGATCGCCAATTGTAGCCCAACCCTACCCCTGGGGGTCATGATTTGAACAAACTTGAAGTTACACTACCTGAGGATGCTTCCATAAAGATATGATCAATCATGGCTTTGTTGTTCTTGAGAAGAAGATTTTTAAAGGTTTTCTTTTGTATTCCTATGTAAAACTTTGATCTCCCGTTGTGGAACCACCCTACCCCCGGGGTCATGATTTGAACAAATTTGAATCCACACTACCTCACAATGATTCCCCATAAGTTTCATGTTTTCAAGCACAGTGGTTCTTGAGAAGAAGATTTTTAAATGATGCCATTAATTTTTTCACGAAATCATAATTATGTCCCCTTTGAACGAGGCGTTGCCCTTCATTTGAATAAACTTGAATCCCCTTTACGCAAGGATGCTTTGTGGCAAGTTTGGTTGAAATTGGCCCAGTGGTTCTTCAAAAGAAGATGAAAATGTGAAAAGTTTACGACAACGACGATGACGACAGACAACGGACACATTTCGATCAGAAAAGCTCACTTGAGCCTTCGGCTCCGGTGAGCTAATAATAGATGTACAAAATGTACGAGTACTTTCTGAATTTTGCGAGGGAAAAGACTTCTGTAGATTGATGCACAAGAATGTTAACGCTCATGTTAATAATCATTATGCCCATCTATGTGTCTTGTCCCGTCCCTTTGCTTTCGGTTGACAATCTAGTTGTCAACTCGTATTGACTCCGTGTCGAGAAGTGTAGCCGCTGACCTGTCGTAATCATTATTGTGTATTTTTTCAAATAATAAAGAAAACAATGTACAATTCTGCTACACAGCCTTCACCTCAAGCATATGCCTAGATATATAGCAGTTTTAAAATGACTGAACGGTAAAATGTCCGTTTGTTGTCTCAAGAAATTGGAATTCCCCTTGATACATCTGAAAACAAATAAGAGGAATAACTTTAATTCTTAAAAAAAACACGAGGGAATCGTTTTCTATTAAAACAATAGTAATACTTATTAATTATGCATAATATATACATGTTCATGGCTATAAAATATACTGCAAATGACACGCATTCACCGCTTTTGCTACCTCCTCCCACGCCCCCTCTTTAAGTTTTCCGTTTTTGACACCCCGGCCCTTTCATCTTTCCGAAGAGGCGGTCCTCGCGTTGTCGGACCGCCTCAACCATAATCAGTTTTTTCCTTCTCGGTCCAATTTGGCCAGCGGACTGTCTTTGCAACTTTCACTTCTATAATATCGGCCTAGTTGTTGGTGACTTGCCGTAGCAGTCGATTATTTTTACATTGGATACTATAACCGAAAGTAAGGAAAAAGGCCGCTTATATGACGTTGAAAAAAACACAGTTGAAAAAAAAATAAACTTAGCTGAGATTTGACTGAGTTTGTTTCGAGAAACGCGATTTGAAAAAAATATTAGCTGAGTGTTTTCGCAGGATTTGAGATTGAATTTGAGTAAAAACTTAAGTTTTTTTTTTCGAGAAAAACAAGCCAGAATTAGTATTCCTTAAGTATAAAGAACGCAAAATTTTGTCAATTTTCTACCAAGTCGAGGAATCTGTAGAACATTTAATTTTAACTGGAAATATTTATAACTATCTTTTAGAATACTGATAGAATACAAGGGTTATCACCTGAATTTAAAGTTGCTCAGAAAAATTCTGTCATCTTTTTTAACCCACATACTTCCCAAATCATACCATGGTGTTCACTCCAATTAAAACATGTTGCGTGTATCCATACACCAATGAATGATTAGAAAAGCACTTGTTAAACAGTATATCAAACAGTGAATTTATTAATTTACCCTATTAATTCATAGTGAGTAAATATAAAGCTACAGTTAAATTTAATATAGATCAGTTCTTTCCAAAAATGGATTTGGTTTTCATTCTGGATTCGTCTACTAGCGTGGGTAATGATAACTACGACAAAATGAAAGCATTCGTAAAGAAGTTCCTTCAGCCCGCAAACATAGACTGTGGAGAGGTGAGAGTCGGTCTAATGTCTTTCAGTACGCAAGTTACAATTGAATTCCACCTCAACACTTATTATACAAAGGCAGAGGTGGTTGACGCCATTGACAAGGTTCCTTGGAGATATGGTAGCACCAACACTGCAGATGGACTTAAAACAATGCATGAAGAAATGTTCTCCAAAGCCAATGGTGATAGACCAGGTGTTCAAAATATATGTATTATCATGGCTGATGGCACATCCAATATCAATGAACAAAGAACAATTCCTGAGGCAAAAAAAGCCAGACAAAAGGGCATACACATTTATGCCATTGGTATTGCACTTTGGGATTTGAATGAAGTAATTGGTATTGCAAGCCAGCCTGCTAGTTTGAATGCATTTGCAGTTAATTCCTTTGATGACCTAGAAGATTTAGATAAGAAGATCTTTAAATCTTACTGTTCAGGTACCTATATTTTATTTTGCTTTCGTATCGGAGTTTCTCTTTTTATAAAAATAACTTAAAAATAAATATTAAAAATAAAAATAATTATAAAATAAGTAGATCTAAATTTGTTGCAAAACTGTTCGACTCGTGTATATCTCATTAATGTTTCCTAAATTCAAATATGCTTTAGGGGTTGTTGTCTGCCAAAAATTACAGTTAAACCGGCTCAGGTTGTTTCTGATTAAAAAAATGTCGGTAAATGTATTTTCAGAACATAGTACTTTTTTCGTAGCAAGTCTGGTAGCGTTTGCATATTGATGGGTCCTTAATCGTACCGTATAGAAAATTTCTGTGGGTAAGGTATTTCATTACAATAACTTTTAGTAAGGAGTTGATCCTTACGTCGCGGGTTCGAATCCCACTGTGGGACGTGGAGACCGGTCCTTCGGATGAGACCGTATAAACCGATGTCCCGTGTCGCAGTAGGTGCTGGCACGAGAAAGATCCTTCATTGCTCAATGGCCGGAAGTGCCGAGCATAGGACAAAATTTGCAGCTCTCCACCGGAAAGTGGTGGCGTCCCCATATGAGTGAAAAATTCTGGAGAGGGACGTTAAACAACATACAAACAAACAAACAATAACTTTTAATCGTCAGGGTTTAATTACTGGAAGTAAATTTCGCCTTTGTATATCATGGCTACCCACATCATTTCCACCAGTTCATCATTATTTGTGTGCCCTACCAGATGATTGTTCACTTTTCTTTTGATCTTTGCATTTAAATCCATGATTCTTCATTGAACCAGACTGTCCCCATGTCCATGGATTATAATGAATATTACTTATAACACGTTTGAAATTCATTTCGGGGTCGAAAACAATTCTTTTCATCGCATATCTGTATTACTATCTTAAACCAGGATCAAATTAATTTCGAATCACTGAAATTGAAAAATGGTTCCTAAATAGTCCCTGTTTACAGGAAATACATATACATGTACAGTTCCTTGATTTTGATCTTTTTTCTCAGATATTGTAAATTTACGTTTTATTCCATCAAACTCAGTCTTCAAAAGAAACTACAAACCTCAATGCATTATCAGGGAAATAATGAGAAGATAATACCTGCATTTCTAAGTTTTGATACTTGTACTTCTAGTTATGATTACATGTATGTTAATAATGTGATGGGCTTGTTTATGATATAATGGGTTTCTAGGAGTGTAGGATAAGTAGAAAAGGTAAGTTAAATTTTGTAATACACATGACCTTTTATTTTTCGACATTCGCAACGTATACAATTTTTTTATTAAAGCATACGAGTGTTGTTGGAAAAGTTCGAGGACACACTGATTTAAAATTTATTGTGTACTTGAAGAAGGACTATATCTTTTCTTGTCTTTTTTATTAGTACATAAAAAACCATGCCTATTTACTAAGTTTTTAAAAATATAATGGTTTTTATTGTGCGGTCATAGGATTCATGGAACAATCATTTGACATTTTTTGACGTTAGGTGACATGACCTGATTCCGAACCTGTTAAGCCTTTTTCACAGTTCTATAGACTTGTCTTTTTTTCCTACAGAACTATTGAATAAATATATAAAGTCATGTTACGTTTTTTCTAAAATATATCTTTTGTGGCGTATTAGATATTTGTGACACCAGAAAAATCGATGTCAACGCTAGGCGATCAAGTATGGAAACAATGCCTATTTCAGAGGTGCAACGTCCTTCACTTGCAATAAGAGGGATATTCAGGTATCGCAGGATTTGATCATAAAAAATGTCAACCCTTCAATGCTAACAAAACTACTACCATTTGAACACTTTGGTCCTGGATACGAGTAGGTAATCCCAAGCAGCATCTCAAAAAAAAAAAATTTCGGGGGGGGGGGGGTCCTGTCTGAAGACATAATTTTTTAATAGCTTGGTCCTCCGAGATATTTAATGACGATGCCATTCCTGACTTTGTTCTTACGCATTGATCAATAATAAGCAATAAAACAGTCAGATCCCTTCAGTTTAAATCAAAATTTCCCCACATGACATTTCACGAATATTGTAGCGACAGGTGAAATATCATAAATCTTTATGCGCAACAACAGTGCAATTTGTTATTTCGGAAAAAAAAGCCTTTGTAAATGTAAACTTACGAAAAAGTGACATGGTCCGTGAAGCATGTTTTATGTAAATAATATAGCTATATACTTTTTAAAGATTCTCGGAAAACCCCTAATCTTTATTTATAAGAAAATACATAATATATGTCTACAGTTTTATATGCAGAATTTTACTGGTGTCATGCAAATAGTGCGCTCACAATAGAACTTGTCCGCGAACTTTTCAAACAACCCTCAAAAAATGAATCATAAGCACAAGATTAATAAAACATAATTTTCTGTGTATATTCCGCAAAGCTACATGTAGCGAAGATGTGGAACCACCAAGTCTACAACCAAAACCATCAACCACCACCGCAACAACCACAAACACTATGTCTTCTACAGAAATAGGTACGTGTTTTGCGTTATTTTTTACAGAAAAAATGATAAATAAAAAAATAGCATGTATGAAAAATAACTTTTTTCGTAAAAATTTTAGAAGCAGTTTTATTAGCCACATTTTGTTATGCGAAAAAGAGAGATAGATTTAGGAACTGCTTAATGAGAATTTATTAAAAACTGAGAATTCCTGCAAAAATGTTATTTGATATATCAAACTTGACTCCATGTTTACGCTTTGAGATGTTTCATGAGATGAAATAACATGATGTTAAGTTTGGAATCTTAATATTTGATATATCATATATCATGATATATATATATATATATATATATATATATATATATATATATATATATATATATATATATATATATATATATATATATAAAGCACTAAAAATGACCAACGACACGAACAATAATAATTGTCAAATTTTCGGGACAACCTGTCCCTTCCTCAGGACAAAGAAAAAAGTTAAGAAGTCATAAAAACAAAGGAAATAGAGAAGCAAAAACAACTAGCACTACTACTAAACTACCAAACACTAAATATTTACAATGTTACATGTTTAATTTGGAGTTTATAAACAGTTGTGAACAAAGAAATCCGGAGCGCTATGAATTGCGTCCGGTCTATCGGGTGTAGTCTGGTGAAGTGTGATTTACATAATTGAACGAATTAATTATCGCTAATTAATTACGGCCAACAGTAAATCGTACATTGTCTTATTCTCTCAAAATAGCGTAACTCTACATGATAAAAAGAAATTAAAGAAAGATAATATGGAAGGACAATTTTGAAATATGAATTTGGATATATTATAAATTTGGAAATCGGAAAAAAGAAATAAACAAAAATGTGAGCTGTAAATATTTGGGTAGGTTGTTCCAGGATTACTAATACGAATTAACGGTAAAGTTTACACAATATAGAGAGAATGAACTTGTTTGTTACAATCCGGGATTGGGTCTAGTTCACGTTCATCCTGATGAAGTCATTAAGTTTGTTAATACCATTAGGGCGGAATGACTTCAGCCTGTGCATCCAGAACTTTTCCTTGCCTTTTCTCTGCGCGTCTGTCCATCTTGGATTATGGTCAATAACCACTACTGTCATGTCCTCCAATTTGTGACCTTCAAGGTTGAAATGTTCCCCAACGGGTTCATTGAGTTTTTTGGTCCTAATGGTAGAACGGTGATTATTGACCCTCCTGCGGATATATATGTAGGCAAAATACTCAAATGTCGTCATTTTATTTTGCTTGCACCTTCACAATCTGCTGATATTGAAAATGTATACTTATCTATGTAAAAAAAAAATTAAAATGAGAAAATAATAGTGAATTAAAAAAATGAATTTCACTTACCTAGATATACCGATTCCAGATGGTGAATAGATAGAAAATACAGTTTTCAATTACAGTGTTCAAACAACTTTTGTAATTGTCCGGAAATTTCAGTTCATAAATTTACAGAGCAAATTTACTCAGAAATAATCCAGGACTCCCCACCCCCCGAAAACGTGGACCACTTGTAAGTTGGTAAGGAGCGCCATATGTAAGACGTTAATAAAGTAAAGAAAATGGCCACCACGCCCTCCACAAAGTTATGCTTACAATGGACATCCTTGTATGTGTGTGAAAGGTGGGGCTTAAATATTTCATGATTTAATTTATTGTTTCTTCAAATTAATTAGAAGCAGTTGATTCGATAGATAAGTAAATGATAATTAAAAAGATAAATGAGCAGATTTTTTACGTTCTTTCTCACTAAATTTATCTTTACTTATAAATAAAACATTATGAGATCAAGAAAATCGAATC